TAAGCAAGAAAATTTTCTTAAGGTTGCATTCTTCGAAATTTCAAGGTCAACGGTCGATCATGTGACCTCAAATACCAAAACTAAATGGAAAGTAAATATAATTGTAAAACAATATTACAGTTGAAATCTCGAAAAATATTTCCTAAAGAAAAATTTGCACTTCGCGTTTTTCTTTGAAATTTTTGCTATTATCAATATCAAGTGAGTTATTTAAGATGCTTAAATTAAGGATACTCTGTATCCGGTAATACTAGTTTCCGGTGTTATTGATTTATTTATAACATTTAATAAATAATCTTTAAAAGTAGATACTATCGTACACAGTATAGGGTTCAATGAATAAACTCAAAAACAAGTAAATTTCCTTCGAAATTGTGAGTTTGGAAATTATATATTACCTCAAAGTAAATTAAAGATTATTTATTTATGTAGATTTCAAACATCGCTAAATTTGTTATTTCATTATATATCGAAGAAATAAAATTAATTAATTTGAAGTGTAACGAAGTGAACATTTTTATGATAAACTTACTTATTATAAGTTCGAAGCATGCCCCGCAAAGTTCAGCAGTGGCGATGCCTTCCAGGAATAAGGACTTTACAAACGGGTCCCGTATATAATAATCCACATATCTTCTTGCCCAATAGGCTATGAGACTCGTAAGTATTATGTAAAATGTGGAGACACCTAATGCAATTAAAGTTGCAGCCATGATGTTTATTAAATATTTTCAAGATGAATGGAAATTCTACAAAAGCAACGAATACATATATAAGCCTATTAAATCAAATCTAGGATGAAAATAATTCATAATGTTTAATTCAAATCGTTAAAAATAGAATTACAATTAAGAATTTAATACTTACTATTCGAAATACTCGATACTTAAAAAAGAAACGCAACATTTATTTTTATTAAAAGCATAACGTTATATATCACTTTAAGACATTAATTAATAAATTAATTAATTAATTAATAAAATGATTATAATATTTCGATCATTTTATCATTCTACGTTATTATATCAATTGTTGAAACATTTCGCTAATTTTATTTTTGTATTTATAGCGTGGTATAGAAGATGAGGAATATGACATTTTTAACTAAAAAATAGAAAAAGAATAATATGTTAGAGCATTGTCAACAATAGCTGTCATTCAATTTAAAAATGATCGTGCATAGTATGTCAACGTCATAATGCTGTATGAAATGCAACTAACGGGAAGCTGAAACCAGGGCATTATGCAACGGTTCACGATCATTCAGCGAACTATGGTTTCAGATGTCTATCGTGGGACGTTCGTGCCATTGTAACTTACGTGTGTATCATCGAGCTTCGCTAGTTCCTAGCATCTTTTTCCGATCGAATTATTGCACATTGACACAGTATTTAAACTATTTCTCGGTCCTTTCTTTCTCTTTACGCGCGACAAGAGTTATTTAAAACTGGCCAGTGTAATTGAATATATCCGCACGGATATGTCGCTATGCTTTAAATAACTGTACTCCCGAATTACCTGGTTGGACATCACCGCTGTGTGTACGAATTCACTAGTTTTTCGCATGCAACAACTTTTAATTAACCACGCATACTAACGATATTAATTTCTTAAATACTGCGAAAATACATCGGGAAACCCGTTTCTATACCCTCTTAATGGGAAACTCGTAATATTAAAACAATGTCATTTGCGTGATATGTCGTTTAAATTTAACGAAGAGTAATTAAGTTTTTAAACACTAGGCCGGTTCGAAAATCTTGAAATTTTTGAAGAATAATGACTACCGTTTGTAAAATTGCAAATTTATAATGATCTTTTAATCCCGCTTTTTAATGTTACTAATAGACGCAATTTTATGAAAGTAGTACGAAATTTGCATTTTCACAATTTTATGTCATATATTATATTAATTCTCAGATTCTCACGCTTGTTTTATTCTTTTATTTTGATTTCTGTATCGGAAGTGAACATTTGTAGATGCTATTATAATTTATTTTTGTTTAATTAATTTTCTTACTCTCATTTTACCTTGATTCTTTCTACATTTACTACAGATATTAATAAATGTGTTATCATTATGTTTATTTAATTAAACTTTTCGTATTCAACTGATTAAATATTTACGACTTCATTTCACATTTCTATTCGTTATAATGTTGGTATTGTTTAAATTAAAACTTATTTTATTTTGGTCGATAAATAGATAAGATTTCTTTAGGTTTTAATGCGTTATAATCTGGTCTCAAACCGTTTATAGTACTGAACGCGGTAAATTCGATACGTCAACAGTAATACCATTGACAGAATTAGTTGACTTACAATGTGATGAAGTGAATTGAGTTCACCAATGAAGCACAATAAAAGCTTAACCGACAGCGGCGAATTATGAGGCCCTATTACGACGAATTACAAATATTGCAGATATCTAAGTTTGAAATTATTTTTTCTAGCAATTTATGTGACTGTGTTGTCTTTCGTTATCGACAAAATTAAGAAAATTATTCAAGGTCTCCGTTAATTTCAAAAATATAAAATTTTAGATAGCATCCTCAAATTTGATTTTTCTTTTGTTAACCAGTCCACAAACTATATTTTACAAATAATTATTTAATGCCTTCAATAATAATTTTGTCAAAATAAAAACTGATCGAACACAACTCTAGATTAAAAATGTACACAATTATGATTGAATGTTTTTATTCATTTTACGAAGTATTAACTACATTTATTACATAAGTAAATGATTCCATGTTTGTTTATGAATGTGGGTTAACTTCAATTTTTATCATTATAAAAAAGAAAGTAAACTTTATTTACAAGAATCAAAAGACTCTCCTTTGTGCTTTTTGGCCGCTTGCGAGTCGTCCTGATTCTCTGTTTTTAACATTAACCTGGGAATTCGTTTCGATTTTAAATATGACATCATTTCACTTGACGATCTGAAAACAAAAATATATATTTAAAGAATTGTAAGTGCATGATAAAATCTTGTTATTCAATTTGTATCACTTGATCCGTGAAATCTAATTACCTCGGATGAGATGTTTTACATTCTGTAAACAGTTCTGATGAAACACTTTCAGTTGAACTGGAACTTGTACATGGAGAATAAGGAATGATCCGATAAGTAGTCCTACTAATTACTTCATTAGTTGGTTCAATATTTTCTGTTTGATTTGGCATATTGTTACTAACACGACTTTCGCCATCTAACGTAGTCTTTTTTTTATCTTCTACATCGGACTTTATGGACTTTATATCAACGTGATTTTCAGCCTTAGTTTTTAATTTACCATCTTGTGTTGGAAAGTTTACGATAGGTATAGTAATATTTTTGTCCCCTTTGGTTGCATTCGTCAATGTAATTAATAGTTTCGAAAGTTCTTCCCTTTTCCGGGTCACAGTTATTTCTTCAAACCAATTTTTCAACGTCTTAATTGGTAATGTATAATCTTTAATGGGATTCTGAAAAAGTATCGTTATTGCGCAATCAGCATTTGATTGTATTTGTTGGCAACAATGATAAAAAGAAAATAATTTTGACAAAATCTTACTTTAAAGAAGCTCTCCACATATTGTAATACATATAAGCCGCAATCAGTAAAATTTGATTGCTGAGGAACTTTCAACGATGCTCCTTTAATAGTATCCTTTGAAAATACTTTCTCGCTTCCCATTTTTGCAACATATTCGCAACTCAAATAATCCCTTAATGTAGCTACCACTCGTGCTCTACTTGCTCCCGCAAGAGAATCAAATATTAATATGCACGGCCTATAATCAATAAAAGTAAATAAAATAAATAAAAAAAATGTTAAATATTAAAAACTATGTTAAATCTCTCATTAATATACACAAAATACTTACACTTTAATAGTATCTTTCTCTTGTGATACATTTTGTTCTATTTTTAATGAATGACTTTTAGCATCGGCATTTTCAGATTCGTCCTAATTTAAAAATCGGGAATGATACATTTTGCAAATTATACAAACTTCATTTATCGTATTAAATTTTACAATTATTCAAAAAATACACTTACATCTTCTTCGCTCTCCATTTCCATCTCGTCATCGTCACCTTCTGCTTCATCTCTCTCAGAACCATCATCAGGTTGATCTATAGTTATAGTCGTCGTCACAGGTGCCAAAGTAGTGCTTCCAATCGTAACAGCTTCTAGTTTTACTTCTTTTAACTTTTTACTTCTCTGTACAGTCTTACGAATATTGTTTTCCGAGGAATGGGTACGATTTGTAGAGACTTCGCCCACCAATCCAGGAAAACAAATAATAGCCAAGAACCAGTGGGCACTGCAATATATTGTTTATGTAACAAACAATTGGAGAAATAAATGAATCATTATTCATCCTTGACATTGTAAACACTTACTGCTCATTTATAGGAATTATAACAAAGTCTTTCTCAAATATGTTTACATTTTTTGACCATTTTTGCACCCTTACATGTCTTTTTGCAGCAGGTGAAAGAGGAACATTACTTTCAACAGCTTGCGTATGTGGACTTGTCAATCGTTTATAAAAGTATGAACTAAATACATGTGTTTTTTGCTGATCACTCTGTGATAAAACTTCCAATGTCAAATATTTCAGATAGAAATCTATAATAACATCATTTAAAAACTGGTCTTCACCGAGACACAAATAATCTTCAGTATTAATGGCTATACCACCCTTTGCAGGTGGTGGAGGATATACAGTTATTCTGTAAATATCAATTTATTATGTTAAATCTAATATCAATATATAGTTAATAATAATGCATCATAAGAAACTAAATTTATTTCTCACGTCTGTATCCCGCCATTAGTGTTGGAATTATTTAATGAAGATGGTTGACTGTCTCTCCTCGATAAACTTTGAATTTGTGAACTCTAAAATGATCAAAATTACTCATGAAAATATTCATTTTATTATTATACAGTATATTTAATAACTACGTTAGAGCAAAAAAGATATCTAACAAAGAAATTAATATCTTTTAAAAATTTAAAATAAGTAAAGTTCATTTACATTACCATAATACAATTGCCCAATATTGTGTGCAATCTCCTTTATTTTGTACTATAGCCTCACAAAATTTTTCCATACTTCTAAAAAGGTTCTCAGCATATTCCACCGGTAGCGAATTATTCAGTGGCGTAGTAGTTTATATGTATATACTTTGAAACAACTATGCCACCGAATAAGAATGCTATAAAGATTATGTCCAATGGAATATACTGAAAACATTCCGAAGTTATATTGCAAAATGTAAATTACACATAATATTAAGTAATTGCATCATAGTATTGTGAGTGAACTTCAATGCTCTTTTCCAATGTTTTATATTTATTATCTAAATATCATGTCAAAACTTTTATAAAACATACTGTATATATACATGTATATATATTTTACATGTTGTGAGAGAAATTCATGAAAATTATTTTTTACGTTTCTTTTTACACACATCTTTTGGTGATGCTCGTACAAGGATATCATTTGCTTCTTTCGAACTTAATTCTTCTAGCAATCCTTTCCGCGAAAATAAGTTTTTAAGCACAACTTTCGATTCCTCGGATAATTTCTCAGGCAGTAAAGTTATCCGCTTATGTGTATGATCTACATTAAAAAACATATTACGTTTGTTTTCATTTATGTCTTTACCCATAGTGTAATATATATCCCAATCCTAAACTAATACCTTTTCCTGCGGGATCATAGTATGGTCCTTTGGGATCTTGCATTCCTAGTAATTCACGTATCATAGCACCAGTGTTGGTAGACGTATAAAAGAAGAGCACTGGCATTGATTTCCCAAAATGAATGAGTACTTTTACAAGATCTTGTAATTTAACTTCTAATGTCACAAAGGTTGTATCTAAAAAAAGAAATACACAAGATTAAGTAATTGATTTAATGAATTACCACAAGCCAGTTGTTACTATGATAATTACTAATAGAATTCAATTTACCATCTTCCAATAATGGTATACCAAATCTGACACCGCTTTGAGAGATTAAAACTCTCTCTCGAGGAACATATTTATAAGAGCCTATCCTTACAGTTCGACACAACACAGAGGTATGAGGAGATGAAACAGAATTATCTGAAAAATGTTAATTTTATATACTATTTCGTTATACTAACAAAAACAGTAGATTACTCTAAAGTAATCATACATAACCTAAGTTATGTTGATATTTATGTAGAAAAAATATCAATTATCATCAAATTACATTTGACAACATAGATAAATTTTCCACTGAGGTGTCAGTATAGCTATATTTAATTTTATTATGACTATACACAGTATATCTGCATTTGACAGTATAAAATATTGATCTTACACAGTGTGAAGAACCCTAAGAAATATATAAATCCATCTAAAAAAATAAAACTTGACTGTTGTATTTTTTAAATTAATAATATAAAAATGTTTGCCACTAATCATTCTTGATTACAGATACACTATGTTTATGTACATCACATAACACAAATGCAGTGTATAATTTTCAATTTATTAAAAATTACCTTTTGTTACATCTTCACTATCCATAGCATAATCTGCACTTGTGCTAGAAATAGAATTGTTTGTAATTACTGGTTCCTTTTCAAGAATGGTGTCCATTTCTTCAGTAAAACTATTACTTGTAATATGTGAAAATGTACTGTTATTAGAGCCCTCCGATGATTTATTTTTTCCTTCCTCTTCTTCATCCGATGAAATTGTCAAACATTCTATACAACAAATATCATGTGTGAGATATGGAAGATTACAAGTAGTAGCATCATTTCAGTATCTGTGGTATGTTCAAGTACTTGAATTAAAAATAATTATAAGTAGTACTGTTACAAAATAATATAATTTATTTATCAATTATCAATGTCGTTAAGTTTTTTTTTCTTTTTTAAATGGAACTGTAACATATTTATAACTCTTAGCCCACTGATATTGGGTCACTTGATGTGTTGTGCCTACTTAGATATCCTGTCACATTCGGTCGGCTGTTTTGGGGTTAATATAGACACCATGTTGCACGCATGAACTTACGTACACACTTACATACCCTAACCCCTTCACAATTGCATCTTGTGAGGCAATATCGTTCACTCGACTTTTCAATTAGATACCTCGCGATACAATATTATCCATGCTGCGATTTTCTACTTTATATATTATTTTTCAATTTTTATAATAAACTATTTATCACTCAGAACTTATTTCAAACTTTGGATGAAGTACAATACTGCTCCTACATTAAGTTTATGACTACAATATTTGCTTGACATGCCATAAATATAATAATGATGATTCCACAGTGCAAAGAAATGAGTTATTTTCGTAAGCATCACAACGTAAAAACCATGTTTTGAATTATTTTATATCCTTCATTTAGTATCCCTAATCTTTCTAGTGTCCACGTACAAAGAATCTACCTGTTGTAAATAAAATTTTTTCTGTGTTTTATAATTAATCATCAGGAAGATGGGGTTGTTCTATTTGTGGAAGCGGGTGCGGTGTTCGCACAGTATGGAAACAATAGTAATAATAACAAAATTGTTATTACTATGCACCCTTGTGCATGTATGCCGTATATACATATACGTCATGGTAAAAGTTCATTCACGGCATACATATACGGATTATGAAATTCCTTGTATATCTCAATCTTCTATGTCAGATCTATTTATTTGCGAGACCGTATTGTGTTAGATTTTGATACATCACACTATCCAATTGGTCTGATAAGGAAAGACCAAATCACTTTTAGGATTAGACTGGGTATATATAATTTGTAATATACATATAGTGTAATAAAAGCTTCATACCATTCATCAAAATGAGCTTTTGTCTTGGAATATTTTACTTTAAAGTTCTATCATAAATATAGGCAATGTTGACCATGCACACTTTGTTAGTTGCGTGCATCTGTATTTTTGATGATGTTTATATTTTGAGGCACATAGAGAAGGATTGTTCACATTTCAGCATGAATGAATGTTTCCGTTTCTTTTTCAGTATACAAGTATGTTGTGCAAACCTGTATAGTGACAAGACGTTTGATTCGAACAATAATTTTAATATAACGCCTAGTACCCTTATATATAATAATATAAACGAGAAAAACTTACAGCTAGGTTTGTAGAGTGTTTGGATAATCAGAAGTATAGATACATACAACTAACAAAACATCTATGGTCAACATTGCCTATACTTATAATAAAACTTGAAAGTGAAATATCTCAAGAACAATAACTCATTTTGACGAACGATATTTGAGGCTTTGATTGCACTACACAGGATGTCTCACCTAACTTGATCATGTTGAATATCTCAGTAAACGATTAGAATTTTTTTAAATGGTAGTGAGACTAGTTTACTAGACAATGACTATAATGCTTCTTTTTAATTGCGTCTTTTAACTTTTTTTATCTGAGCCTATAACGAAATTTTAAAAAATGCGTTTTGTAGAACTCGATAAGTTATATGTATGCTGAAAATTTCTTCGAAATTGGTTGGCCTTAATAGCAACTGTAATCAATTAAAGATCGCAAAAATCGCAGTTTTGTTCGATTTTTGACACATCCAACTAAAAACTGTCAGAAATTTTTTTAATCTTTCACCGCTTGTAACTTGCCTCTGCGTTAGCCGATTTCGATGAAATTTTCAATATGCATATAACTTACCGAGTTCTACAAAACGCATTTTATAAATTTTCATTATAGGCTCAGATAAAAAAGTTAAAAAACATGAGTCTTTTTTAGTCATTCTAAGTAATAGCAAAATTTAAAAAAAAGAGCATTATAATCATTGCCTACTAGATTAGTCCCACTATCATTTAAAAAAAGATCCTGCGTTTTAAAGCGTCATACTTTTAGAGGGGTGTGTATGTATTTTCTTCTATTCTACTATAAATTCAGTTTTCGATATACTGTTTTAGTAATTACTACCACCCTGGCATAGATTTGCACTAGAGAATCTTGCCGTTCAAGGAATAAACATCTAAACTATGTGTGCTATTAACCAGTATAATA